CAAATTACGTGTAATTAGAGAATAAAACTAAAGATAGGTCTACCATCATTTCATAGTCACCCTAATTAGTGCGAAAAATGTCATCATTAAATACATGTACGTTTCATTATATATACATATGTGTATGTATGTATATGTATATATATGTGTATATGTATTTGTATATATAATGTTTATTGTAGATAGTGACGCCTGAAAATGATGCACCAGAGAGCAGAATTAAGCCCAGAGGAGGGGGAGCCCCAGGCCCCGGCGCCGGACAGAGGCCGGGGGGGCGCCGGGCCGGAGGAGGCAGACGAGGCCGCAGAGAACATGACCCCAAGAGACGCAGAGAACATGACCCCAAGAGACGCAGAGAACAACAGCAGTAACATGAGCGCGTCTTCCTTGGCCACTGCTGAGGAAAGCTCAGTGGACGAGTATGCAGAGTATGTCAACCAAGCTTTTTTTTTTGTGTGTGTGTGTGTGTGTGTGTGTGTGTGTGTGTGTGTGTGTGTGTGTGTGTGTGTGTGTGTGTGTGTGTGTGTGTGTGTGTGTGTGTGTGTGTGTGTGTGTGTGTGTGTGTGTGTGTGTGTGTGTGTGTGTGTGTGTGTGTGTGTGTGTGTGTGTGTGTGTGTGTGTGTGTGTGTGCGTGCGTGCGTGTGTGTGCGTGTGTTATGGAACTATAATCCAGTAAAAGACCAGTAGAATCTTCTCATAAATTTTATTCTTTAATGAAAAGACGTGAACATAGTATAGGATGCTGTTGCTCTCCCAAGAGCTAAATTCAGCTATTTGATTTTGGCACTCCTGGCAAAGCCAACAAACCATCTCCACAGATATTCTAGTTAAATAGTATTTTGTTTTTGATGGTTAATATCGATGGAAGTCTTCAAACCAAACCTTGCAAGAATATTATGTGATGGAGAGGCTTGTTGCCTTTGCCAGAGTGCCATGTGTCCCCCCAGCTGTTACCTTGATGGCTTACCTGGAGATTATGTTGAAACTAAAAAGCATTTTCAGTGTTCTTTATATCCAATTTATTTTTTCATTATCTCTGGTTATTAGTTCATGATTAACTGTTTTGGCTTCCTATCTGTTGATAACGAAAACCCTTAATTTTCCTCAACAGGCTAACAAATGCCCTGGCAATAGATTGTGAAATGGTGGGTGCTGGACAGAGAGGCAGAATATCTATGCTAGCAAGAGTTTCTGTCGTAAATGAATATGGCGTAGTACTTCTGGACAAGTATATTAAGCCCTGGAAGAAGGTTGTCGACTACAGGACAAAATATTCAGGGATTCGAGAAGCTGACTTAAAATATGGCAAGTGTTTGATAGATGTAACGTTACTATACGCGTAATTACTTAATATGCTCTGTATTTTTTAGAAGATAATTAGTGAAAATATGCACTGAATTTTCATTTTTGGGTTATATTGAAAGATATTTTTTTGAGAATAGATACCTCTCCCTTAAGGCTTGTAAAACCCCTCAGAGAATTTCTGGGATGACTTGATTAATGTAATCTAGGATTTTAGGGTTTGAGGCCATTATCTATATTTTTCTTTTCCTTAATGATGTTTGTTTAGATTTTTTTTTTTTTTTCATTTCATTTCATTTTATGAACCTTTTAGCATGTAGCAACTTCCAGACTAAGTTTGTCGTGCCACTGTTTTAGTTTATAGGAACAGTTTGCCCCCATAGTGTATACCACCATCATCCAAAATTTGTGAATTTACTGTTTATTAAAAAAATTTGTTTCTGTGTTGTGCTTGCTGTATTATATATTTTAGTATGTTATGTTTGATAATATTTTACATTATATGAAGGTAGTTTTGTGTAATATTGAATATATTGAAATTGTGAGAGCAATTTGGGATTTTTTTTTTTTTTTTACAAAATTAATGAATCTGAAACTAAGCAAGGACCTGCTGGAATTAGCACATCCACACCCTCCCTGTTCAGTAAAATTGTGATAACAAGGGATAATTAAATATCCTTAGCTGAGGCCCAGTAGCTGGAATCAAGTTAACCCATTGGATCCCAGTGCCTCACGAGTGGGAGCCAAAATCTGCCCTTTAGGCAACCTTGAGTGGCGACTCTCCCAGTTGTGTGGCTTGTAGGCCTGGCCCACATGAACATTTGCATGCATTTTAAGAATCCTCTTCTATTTTATTAGTTCTATATTTTTCATTTCTTATGATGTATCAAAATATCAATATGTAATATGTAATATAATATCAGTAATAACAAATAGCATTATGTTTTGTTATTTATTTTATATTTTTGTACTATTCTATTTTTTTGTAACATAATCTACAGCTGGTAGCAATGGATAGGAATGTATTCCTGCGTGTGGACATAGTGTCTGCCTTGGAGATGACCCTCTCTCAGACAGGGTTGATGGCCGGTAAACTTCATTGTCATGGACTGAGTGAAATCTGAGTGATTCTATTCCCGAAGGCCTGATGAGTCAGTCTCACTCGAAGAACTTAGTGCCCTTTGGACAATTTTTTCAT